TAATATCTGGTCGCCAAAGCTATTCTCCAATGAGAACATGAAGCATCTAACGAATCAGTCTAGCTTAACAGTTTAAATAGCAAAACGTATTCCAAAACGTATGCTGGCTTAGGCACAGTTTGAGAAAGAATTTGAAGGATATATCTCTACATGCTATCGAATGAATGAAGTCTTCAAGGTCGGGTTTAAATATCATTTAAACATATGGTGAATAACTATAAACACCGAGACAGATAAACTATTTAATCAACTGGGAGTTGCTATGCATTGAGCTATGAGTTGAGAAGTTAAGTGAATAGCTAAAGTTCATCATTTTTATGATATACTATATAACTAAGTTTAAACATAAAATATGTTAAAGAAAAAAATAAGAGAATCGTAAATATATAGGTTTCATCTGCTTTTAATAGACAGACAAAGAGACCAATGGTGTATCTTGAGGGAATTAGGTGATAAATCGCCTTTATCAATATAATCCATCAATAATACACTGCAAAAAAATACTTTCTGCTATATCACTCTATTGACACAATCTTAGCTACTTTACTGTAACAGACAGACTATCGGACTGACTGAATAATAAGTCTATTTTACCTAATCGTTTAATCCTAATAAAGAATTTATATGGTTTTTATGGTGACACATAAACTCTTATTTAAAAGAGTATGAAGGGTATAAAAATTTTGTGTATTTAGTAAAAATATATATAATTTTAATTAAAAAATGGTTTTATTGACACAATTAACTTAACAATTTTTGTTATAAGCTAAACTCGTAACTACTAGACGTGACCTTAACAACATCAAAGGTTAATTAGTAGAATATATAGTTTATTAAACTTTATGCGATTAGGAGGCAGCAATTAACTTCGTGTGAGGAATTAATCATTTCATGTAATAAAATTAGCACAGTCGTTATCTGACGTTGATAAGAAAGTGCTGACATTTGTTTACAAATTTTATCAGAACTTTTTGTTGCTATTTTTGTGGAATTATCAGGGCTTAAGCAAAGATCGATGTGCGATCGTACTATTTTAACCAGAATACCATCTTATCGAAGATGATAAGCAAGCATGCAACACGTATGCAGAATGTTCCCTGTGTACTTCAGCTGCGTTAATCAGAGTTCATTATTATATTTAGTAAGCGATATAGATAACACTCCGGAAGATAATGTATGTTAAATCCCATTTTATTAATACTTAATATGGCGAGCTTAAGAAGCATTTGTTCGGTGCATTTAATATTAGACAAATCTAATCAATTTTCTGAAAACAAATGGTACGATTATTGTTTATAGTTTAAGTGCAAGAGATGTTTAAGTTTAGTAGATTAAGAGAGTAAAACAAAAAAAAATTCAACTACCAAAGTTATAAATGCTTGACTACTTGTTATAACAATCGTATCGAATTAATTTCCTATAGTTTTGACCAGATTAAACTAGTTCATACAGATGTCCAAAATTTTGGACAATAAATTTTTGATATTTGGATATTTGGTGAATGAAATTGAATGAAACAGCTTTTGAGAAACAAAACCCCTTTTTCTTGTTAAGTTTCTTGTATATATAAAATGTATATTTATATAAAAATAATTAATATCGAAAATAAATTAAGTAATTTAAGTTAATAATTAATTAATATAAAATATAAAATCTATATATTGTCAAATAAGTTTAGAATAAACACTATAAAAATTTATAATTTTTATAATAAATTTATCAATTTATAATTATGGTCACATTATTCGTCATATGACGAATGGTCACGCCAGTTTAATGCTTTTTCTGGTCATAACCACAAAAGTATGTTATGCATTGAGTCAAATCACAATTATCAATTTCGTACTGTTAGTATTATTGTAATAGTTTATTGATAAGCAATACTGTTTGGACCTACGTGTCGATGTTTGGACCCTATCACAATGAATAAAGTTTAATCGAAATTTCTTTAATGATTTGCAGCTAACTAAAATCCTTTACAAAGTAACTCCCTGTCATATATAATCTATTATATAAACATGAGCTGGGGAATAGTAATGTAATCCATACAAGATATGAAACACTTTCTACATCTTTCTTACAGTATTCCTTGTTGAATGGAATATTCTATTTTCAAGCACGATTTTTTAACCCAGAGTCTATGTAAGACCGATTATTCTATGGAGCATATCAAAGATACTTTTGATAAGTTAAATTTTTTCCTTACTCAAGAAGAGCAAATTCACATTTGCATACAAGAAGATTTTAACGACTCTTTGTATAATACTACCGATATGCATAGATCTCGTAGATACTTCACATATGTTTCTGTAGCCCCATGTCCAGCTGGTCCATTCATTTTGCATTTATATGCAATATTTTATGATTTGTATTAAATTCTGTGAATATATTAAGGAGATCGTATCTTTTAAAAACAAATTATCTATTCCTCTATATTCCCTCATTCACAATAGAAATAATGGATTTTAATTAAAATGAGGTCAGTCTCCCAAACACTTTGCAGTCCCAAGCCGTCTATGTGTTAACTGTGTAGTTATGTATTTCTTATATTATTTCATCACCGGGAAACTCATATCAGTAACTATCTATGAGAAAATTATACTTCAAGTGATCAACTTATAATAGTTTTTAACGGTTATACATGCATTGTCAATGCCAAAAAATTAATTGCTAAGTCTACTTAGAATTTTTTAAACAATATTACAAAACAGTCAAAAACTACAAATTCAAAGGTATTTTAAAAATTTAAAAAATTATTTTTTGATTTTTTAAATTGAATTATTCTTTAATATTATATTATAACATTTATATTAGAGTAATTATAAAAACCTACAGGTAATTTCAATAAATTAATTAAGGCTTTAAATTTTATTTGCCATTATTTGATATTGTTTTTATTTATATTCTTTATCTCATAAGCATTTTTATGTAATAAAATATTTATTTAAAGACTATCTCAGATAATTGGTACAAATCCCCCCTTAACATGTGTTGACCACATCCACAAATATTTACAGTCCAATAAAACCATATGGGGTAGTAAACTATTTGAGTGAAATAAAAATGCTCTTAAATGCACTCGTCATACCAAATAAAAATTTTTCCCTTAAATAGGGTTGCCATCATATTTGCCATCATTTATAATTAATTACTCAACTGAACGCACCACTGAGCATTACAACAGTTAGTACTCTTTAGATAAATTAGGTATTTCCGACTCAAATAAATGCTGTTACTCTTGTTAAAATGAGCAGCTGTTAAGCTCGAAATCGATTTCAAGATCGCTGAATAAAAATTATTCTATTTTTAAATGTTTTGAATGTCGTTTTATGAGCCTATATAACCTATATGTATAGAATGCTGCTATATATCCAATATATTATATGGTTTTATATTACTGATTGTATTGTATTGTATTGTTAAAAAATCTATTTGTCTCATTTAGACAGTTTTTTACATTTAAGCCATTAATGAGAAAAAAAGTCGAGTGCAACCATTAAAAATAAATTTCCGGCAAGGGAAATTATCAAAATTTGAAATATTTGTCGTATCTTTTATATGTAGCATGTAAACAAAGAAGCTATTTCAAATGCATAAATCAGCTTATGCCACTGGAAACGTATATTATTAACATTAGTGTTAGCTGCAGTGGAAACGTGACAATTTCCAGTTATTTAAAAGATTTGATATGTGTAAAAATCTGCTCTAATACAATTTATTTAATTTATTAATTAAAATTATATCTAAAATAATTTACATCAATTAAAGTATCTTTTTAAAATTTTGTTTATAACATACTTATTATTTTTAGAACATATTTATATTAGGTTTGTTCCACGAGTTACTCATAGTAACTTTGAGTAATACTGTGTATACAAAAGTATGTTCCACCCACGATTGCCACTTATGGTGCTTTAGTACCAAAATTGGTACTTTTTTTTCGTTTGGTACTCATGTTCAAAAAATGGTACATTTTTGACGACCCAACTTTATTGTGGATATTTCCAATTAATTTTTTTTTATAAATGCAACTTTGCACTATTTTATATTTTATTCATTTATAACACTATGAAAAACACAGAACGAAAAAACAAAATTTTGGACCTTTTTTTTACAGAAATGGTACCTTTTTAAACCAATTTTGGTACAGAAAAAAATTTTCAAGTGGCAACCGTGGTTCCACCAGCAAATTTTCGAGTTAATCAGAGCATCTGTGAAAGCGTAGCATCCCTGTCGAAATTTGAAAATGCTACACAAACTTTACTAGTACATTTTATTTCAAGTAAAATTTGTGTGATGTGTGCATCAGCTGTTTTGGTTTAAATTTAAATTTTTGTATTGTTTATTTGCGCAGAACTGGTGTACTCACCATTTTATTTGTGTTACGCTCTCAGTAAGTACTTTACTTGTGTTTTACCTAATGCGATATATATTCTCTCATATTGTACACATTACTAATTTATTATTACAAATTTATAAATTTGGCAACCCTACACAAATCAATTTTTTCATACTCAGTTGATGAGTGACTGAGTGAAGAGCACCGGCACTGTTTACAATCCAATGTTTTGTATTTATCACTCAAAAAAAAAAAAAATACAAAATATTCCAAAGCAAAATGAAAAAATGCTAAACAATAATAATAATAGTAACAATAAATGTTGTTGTTTTTGTTTGTGATTAATAATCTTGACCAGCAAAAAACAACAAAAAAAACAAAACAAAATAAGCAGTAACTTAAAAGCAGAACGATAAAAAACTGCAAAATTAAAAGCGAGCCGCAGTTAAAAGAAAACATCCACAAGTTTTACGTTCAGTTGTTTTTGAAACGTCATATGAAGATGTTTGTTTGAGTGCAGCTGTACGAGGCGGTCTTTATTGCTGTACAATTTGTCTGATTTGTTGCTTTTTTTTGTATTTGACTTGTAACTGGAATTTAAATATATTTTATTTAAAAAATATTAAAGAATTTATAGCCGTTCGTGTCATATTGTATTTTTAATAATTAAACAAAATTTAAAAGTGCGGAAAGAAGCTATTGCTATTGTAAAGAAAAGAAATAAAATTTGTTTAGTGAAATTTAAAAAGTGTTAACGTATCAAATTTAAGCTCTACACCAAATTGCTTATAAAAAGTGTAAATTAGCAGAAAAGTTGTTCGCATAAAAAAAATTTACCGCAAAAATGCCAAATTTACCAGAACTCAGCATTGAACAAAATCTCGCCCTCCAGCAGGTGAGTTGCAATCCACATTGACATTTGAGTGGACATTTTTTTATGAAAGAATGGAAAATGATTATGGGAATCTAATGGATTTTGTTTCGTTCTTTTTAAAATTGGTTGGAACGTAGTTTAGTGTATTGTTTGTTTATTAGTAAAATTTGAATATTTATTTGAAAATTATTTTCGTTTCTTTTCCTAAATCAAGTTTTATTAAAAGTAATTAAAATGTTTGCATACTAATTATGTGCTTAGAATAGTTCAAAGAATACAAATAAGATTTCCTCTCTAATAAAATTTTTTTTAAAAATTTATATTAATTGTTAGTAAAATAATTGAAAGTATAATTTGTTTATATATAAACATATATCTGGCAATATTATTTATTTTCTTAATGTCTGCTATTGTTAATAATTTTGTATTTAAACTCTACAAAATTGAATCGAAAAATATTTCCCAATAGTAGAAACAGTTTTGATTAGTCCACTGAAGTGGCTCGTAGTTCCTCGAGATCGAAACCTTACTAGGTACTATAAGGACATGGTGAACTGCTGACTCTGAATGCCGCGCATAGAGCAATTTTTTAGCAATCAGTAATATTAAACCAAGTAATATATTGGATATATAGCAGCATTATATAAAATAGACGGTATAGGCTCATAAAACAATATTCAAAACATTTGAAAATAGAATAATTTTTATACAGCGATCTTGAAAACGATTTGAACTTATGGTAGTGAATTTTGGAGAACTGTGACAAACTCTATATCGGAGATATTACAACGATGTTTTACTAATACATAGTTTCACAGACTAAATGAAGAAAAAGGTCAACACTGAAAGTCAGTACAATAAAAGAAGAAATATAAAATAAATCATAGAATATAGTTATATATTTGGGTAAAGAAATCATCGAAATGTCTTAATCCTGCTAAGAGATCCTTGTCTTCATCGTTAACATCCTAGTGTAGTCTCTTTCACTAAAGCCACTAAATAACAACAAATTACATGCTAAAAAAAGAGTTGAAACCGGTTTTACAATGTATTTGGTTATCGTATTGCTGTCCATCAAAACTGAAATTCATTGCACATTGTCACGCAATAACTAAGGAGTTCTTAGAGATTTCAGTTGGTGATGTAGTTACGGAAGTTGTGAACATTTCGCTCTGCTGAGGGACGTCTCAGCCTCCCTCAGACCTCCCTGCTCCTACAAGTTAACAACATCTGTTCAATCAAAGAGTTTGACAGCGAAAAATTGACACTTTGGTTTTCGTTGTTATTCTATTGTATGTTAGCAAACGCCTTTAACATATGGTATATAAATTGTATGAATTTTGTATTGAAAATGGCACTTAATGTTACATATTTGCCGAAATATACTATAATTTCCACTGGCTTCGTTAGATCAGTTAACTTACTTGAGATTCAAATAATTCAAGCAATCTCAAGTAAGTTAACTGGTCTAATGATGCCAGTGGAAACATACTATTAACTACAATAGTCAAAGCCAAGGCTGTACACCCAATATGCGATCGCGGGCCAATACAAATTACTGTACAGATTGGAGGGTCGCAGAAACAAAAACATTCGTATATAGTTGTTATTATAAATACGGTTATAATGTTAAATTCAGTTTTGTTACTTTATCAATTTAAATTCATTTATTTGGTATACTATAAAAATGAAAAATTTCTGTAATTGTAGTAGATTAAATATGTCGCGGGCCGTACTTTGGACAGCCCTGGTCTAAACAAAGCATTAGTAAACTAATCTAACCTATATGATTTTTTTTAACTTTCCTAGTGTAGTATTGATAATATTATAATAATATATTCTTTGAATAAAATAATTTTTAAATATAAATAAAATAAGTTGTAGTGGCACAATAGAAAAAAAATTAATTTCAAGTTTAAATCAAGTATAAAATAAAGAAAAAAAAGATATTAAATATTATCGCTAATATTTAATGACTGAAACTCTTTATTAACATCTGGTTTTGTTAATGCAAATTGAATAAAATAGAAACTTCTGTTGTCAGCGGAAAAAAAATAAACCTCCTGTGGATTCCTAAAAGCTTTTTTTTATTTCATAACACTTGGTTTTGCAATAAATACCAATCGATTCTTAACACTAAATTGAGTAAGACATAATATAATCAATTACTTCTTTAATATAATTATTGATTTGAATACATTTATTCCTTATACAACCTTAATTACTTCAATAGAAAGATAGAAAATATTAAAATTCTGAGGTCATTCTTTTGTCGTACTTTCTGCTTTATTTCCTTCTGTGATGCGGATATCTGACGCATCGTCTTTGTTTGAAATGTAATTTCGTATTGAAAATTATCCACCATTCAATTGCGGTTATCTCATACAACTGCATCTTCAATAATATATATATGTATTTATATCTGTGCACATATAAATATATTGCGTTTCAAATTTATTACACTATTTTTCCTTACTAATGAACTGCAACTAGAGCGCAAGTCTCGTCATCATGTCACATATAAACATCACATAAAGTACCAAAATGCTTGACATCTGCATTTTCTATCTAAATGCAAAAGACTATATTTTACAAAGAAAAAATATGAAACTATTTAAAATTTTGTTAAATATGAACATATTTACATTAATACAATGTGGTCAAAATGAACTGCAACTATAGTTTTCTTGACCACTATCGTATATGTTGGGGAATTTTAGGGCATTTGGAAACTTCCTAACCCTACACGCAAATTCCAATGAGAATTTGTGTTATTCTATACATAGCTTTTGCTTTGGTGTTTTCTTAAAAATTTTTAATTTTTTTTTTTGATTATTCTTTAATAAATCTAACTTAGACGAGAAATAGTGATCTTATAAAGCCTAAGCTTAGACGAGGAGTACAAGTGCTGTTGGATCAGTTGAACATAGATACACGTCAAGTCCATTGTAGAATTAAATCTTTGTACAAATCTTTACTTAATTTTAATTAGGAGTGGCATGAATGTAATTCTTTATAGTATGTTTCCACTGCTTACTTAGTAAGCGTAACTTACTCAATAAATTTCATTAACCATACAAAGAGTTGCCGTGCTTTTTAACTTACTTAAAAATAAAGTAAGAAAAATTAGACCAAAAATGTCGAAAGCAACCCTTTAAAATAAATTTTCCATAAGGGAAATTACCAAAATTTGAGCTGTAAACAAACGTACTGAGAAAATGAGTATTTATTAAAATATTTGTTATTATTAATTAAATATATGTAATCGATTTATAAAATTTATTTATTATATATATGAATGATTTAAAATATCAATTACATATATAATTTTTTGTGTTATATATTATTAAGGACGTGTGCATTCTAAATGCATTTTAAAATGAGGCATTGTAAATGAGGGAAATTCTACGTTGTGTCGATAATATAGTGATGTGTCGATACGTGTTGATAAATGGTTAAATGTGTGCAGTACAAAAAATCCCAAAAAACTTCCCATTTGGTTTAGCATCAACTTAGCCTAACTCGCACACGTCCTAAGTACAATTTTTCTGAACAAACAGAAGCTCTCTTAAAACTTTTAAAGAGCTTTCTAACACATAAAAGCTTTGTCACATGGAATAAGCAACTTATATCAATAGAAACGACAAAATCTTAAACTTACTTAAGTAACTTAGTAAGCAGTGAATATGTGGTATTACATTTTTTAATGTTACGAGTTTTTTTGTCGAAAGTGACGCGTCTTATGACGAAAATAAACTATTTAAAAGTTAGAAGGGTTCGAATAGAAAATGAAAAGACAACAACAACAAAAATTTTAGTTAATTTATTAAAGTTTGGCTTTGTGTGGTATTACATCATTTTGTAGTTAATATGTAAATCATAATGAACCTTAAAATTGTTTTCGTTTTTTTTTCGTTAGGGCTTGTTTTTGTTAATTTTCACACTATGTAACTTTGAAGTACTTGAAGAAAATGTATCCACGCCTGCGCATAAATCTTAAGTATCTGCAAAATGTACTTATTTTTTGTTACTTAAGCACATATTTTTAGTTACTTAAAAAATTCAGAACAATCTGCAGTTTGCCTAAACACGTGAACATTACGAAATTCAGGTAACACTTCGGAAAGACTTTAAGCTGATGTTTGCAAAAGGTCGTCTTTAGTTCGTCTACCATAACTGACTAATTTATTTTGTTGTTTTTTCTGATTATAGCAATTTTCGTGGTTTAAAAAATGCATTTAACTTAATTTTATGTTTAAAATAAATTAATTTTTTATGACGTTGCATTTTGTGTTCATTGTGTTTAGTCTTTATGCTTTTGCATATCGCAACGCAGTCAAGTACATTAAAGCCAAGTGCCTTGACAAATAAAATTTGACTTGGCAATTTTCCATGCCATTTAAATGAAATATCTACGAAAATTCGTAACTAAAATTATAATTTTTATGCACAAAATAAGCCTGCATAGCTCGAAATTTCTGCGTATCTATAATTGTACGCAATTTGTTGGGGCGCAGATATAACAAATACAATAGATAGAAGATATATTAAGTAACAATAAACAAAAATTATAAATAATCCATTTAATGGATTTATTTCTGCCCATTTATTCTCTTTTCTTCATATTTATTCATATAAAAAAATATATTAAATTATCGTTTATTATCGCACAAAAATTGGCCCAAACTGCATAATTTCGTCAAACTTGCAAGTTTGTTGACCAAGAAAATGACAAAGAAAAGGTCTTTGGTCTATGATATGTAAATCGAAACACACGCGTTTGCTTTCTTGTTTAAACTGATAATTGGCCCTGATTGGGGCCGCATTAAAATAACAACACATAACAAATTATTTTTACTAAACTAGTTCGGAAAAATATGTGACAATAGTCTTCAAAAACTTGTTAAAGGAAATGTTCGAAATTGACAAACTCTCAACTGAAAGACCAACCAATACTATATTGTTGTAGTTACTGTTGTTATAATATTGAGAAGGTGTTGAAATATTATGCACACCACATA